GCAAGCTTCTTGCCCTAAAGGAAGAGTTTGAAACAGAGGATGAACCAGAGCAGCCCTCTCTGGTTTAATGACTCTTCTTCTTAGTGCTTTTACTTCAGTAAGGTAACTGCACTGACTGATGTTTCCTAGGGCTGTGTTTCCAGGGAAACTTTTATTTTCGCTTTCTGAGATGTTGCTTAATGGCTTTACCATTCTCTAAGTTAAAGCAGCTCAAGCATTTATGTTTTGTTAGCACAAAGGAGTGGGTATGTATGCTACATTCCCCCAATCATTCATCAGTGTTGACAGGATGCTCTTTTGCATCTCCTGTGACAGTACAAGTGTGGGAACATTTTTCCCTAAGTATCTTTGCCAAAGAATTTAGAGAAGTAAAACTGATGCACACGTTATCTGCTGTTGTTGGATCCTCCGGTAATCTGTCACTACAAATCTTGGAAAGCAAATGTAGAATGGATCAAAAGCTTGAGCAAAGGAGAGGTTAGTATTTTTAACTTGTCAAATATTACACTCCTGTATGTACTCTCACGCTCGCTGATGTGTTGTGTTGGAAAGATCTAAACCTTAAGAGGCTGTTTTTAATGGTAGTGTGGGATGGGAGAGGGGTTGTGGACAGTCAGTCTTTTATCGCTGCTGGGCCAGCTCAACATGTTTGTGCCGAAATCCCCTGAACCTCTAAAGTCCACTTGGCTTCTGCAATTGATTTTTTTTTCCTGGCCATATTATGCTATCCTGGGTTACAGTGACATTTCCCTTTGGAAGGCAATTAGTTGAATTTGGCATCTTTCCTGAGCAGGTTTCCCTTATCTACCTGCTGAGGCTTTGATGAGTGTTATTTTCTTCATTTCAACATAAACAGATAAAGCTCAATTTTCAAAATATTCTTCTGAGCCAGAACAAAAAAGTCGATGTGACCCACAGAGTGAAAAGAATGCATTGGTATCTGGAAAAAGAAATACGAATTATGAAGCACAGGTTAAGAATAACTGCCCCATACTTTAAAAGTTTTTAACCAGTTTAATATTAAACTCTGCTATATCCCCTGGTATCTTTACACCATATTCCTTTCAGATGATGAAACTATTGCAAGCAGTTGTTTATGCACGTGTTGTATATAACCTCCATGATGTGCACAGGCTTAGGGAGCTGCTCTTACCCGGGGTCAAGGCCACCTGAAGGCTGCGTGTGCCAGCGAGGGGTCCTCCACAGGGGGAAATAGGTACAGTGACCAGAGGAGTCCTGTGTGTTTGTCCTGGTCTCGGGTCAGCCAGACCTGCTGACCCAAATACAGCACAGAGGTGCGGGCTGAGACACGTCCTGCTTCTGCAGATTGGATGACCTTTCCTGAAAGACTGGTTATCTCCCTTAAAAGGGCGCCCTGGGACACAGGTGCATTTTTGGCAATACAACACAGGGAGCTGTGGTATATTGGAATCCAACAGAATAACAGCATTTCCTGGTCACATGTAGCAGGCTGGTTTTTGCTCATCGTGAGTAAGAACAGAGAAAATATTACTTACTGCCAGACGGTGAGAGAAACTGCAAAGCTCAGCACACTTTAGCAGTCTGGGTTCCCAAAATCCAGTAATTCTCTCCAAATTCAGTCAATCAAACTCAGTAACTTTCCTCTGCTTCCCTCCCGCACCTACACATACCCTTTGCTAATCACAGATCAGCAAAGCCTAATGTTCGCACTGTCCCCTCTGTCCGAACTCTGAACCTGAAATAAGTTATACTTTTGAGGTTGCTTTCAGCTGGGACCTGCTGGTAGAAAATTGAAGGAGGAGGTGAGGAATCTGAGAGTCAGAGGATGATTCCTGATGGACAATTCCTAGTTCAGAACAAACAAGTTGTTGCAACAGTAGCTTGGTTTAAAAGAATTTTTATAGAGGGAGTAGAGCTACGTATGGAAAGCTGGGCATTCCCAATTTCATTGCCATGTGATTTTTGTTTTTTTAAAGGTGGTGCTGGGTAGCCCTATCTAGTTTAAAATTAAGCCAGAAGGGATGCAGGATATACGATATTTCAGGGGGCATTACATCTACATTTGGAAAGTTCAAATCTGCCAGGGGTGGAAGAAGTTAGCTAAACATAACCATCTCCTGAAACTGTACTGTCCTGTAGGAAAACAGCTCTTAGTCATAAAAAGTATGTCTCTTTACAATGCTAACTACGTGGGTATTAGACCTGTGGATGTGCCTAGCAAACTTCATTTTCAGGTAATAGGATGTGGAGAACTTCGTGGGAATTGTGTCTAAACAGAGGACAAAAACAGTTTATGCGTATGGAAGAGAGGGGATCAGCTCTTTAAGGACAGGTAATCTCTGCAAAGAAGTCAAATGTGGAGACTCTGGCACTTTTCCTGAGTGTGGCTCCGAGTGCCCTGGGAATGCCTACCCGCCAGAACCCATAGTAAGTCTCTCTATTGGTGTGAGTAGCTGTTAGACTGAATTCTCTTTGTGACCATTGGTTCTTATAGCTCTTGACTCCTTCTGAGAATAACACCAACTCTTTTTTCACCTGTGATGCACCACCTCCGCAAGGTAACACCAAGATCAGGGACTTGTGGCATCAAGGATTCCTTTGCATGCAACTTACTTCTGCATTTGACTGACCGGTGACTACTGGAAAGTTGAAACTGAACAGTTCACAAAGTTTTTCAGTTGAAGTCCTTCAAAAGGATATTGCTTGACTTTTACATTTTTCCCTCACTTTCCAAGTGACTAGATCACTTGTGACATATTTGCGTACTGTAAAAAAAGAAATCCTATCAGTCTATTTCAGACACTAATTTGTGTGTGTGTGTGAGAGATGCAGAAATGTCACCTGTTTAGTTACAGCTGTAGCTTTAGCTGGAAATTGATGAGGAAGGCAGAGAACAGCCAAGAATTGTACTAAAGCACGTAGGAGTTTTACTTCACGGTCACAGTGGAGGATGTTTCTCAGTCCGAGACAAAAGTCCTAAAAGCTTTTAAAAACAATTTCAGAACAAAGGAAGTCTTAAGTACCCATTTCCCAGAAATTTTATACCTTAAATAAAGGGGAATGAGGAAACCCCCGATAGTAAAATTTGTTTATTTACAGTGTTATGTATTACAGGAAAATCAGTTTAAAAAGTCAATGCTTCTTTCTCTTCAAAGTTGCAGCATTGAAGATGTTAAGACAGATTTGCAGAATTTAAAACATACCTGCTTCCAGACTTGCTGGTGGTCTGGATCTGCAAGGTGAGACCATCTTGGTTTTTTTGTTTAATTTTGTTTTGTTTCTATTTTGTTCTTTTTTTTTTGTTCTTTTTTTTTTTTTTTTTGTCCAGCCCTTCAAGCTTCAAGTAAGGCATTTTTTTTTTCTTTTTAAATTAGGTTTCAACAAAACAAAAGAAAAACAATTTCTATGGGTTTGGCTGCCATGGCAAACTTTAACATTTAGCCTGCAGCCATGGTCTGCGTTGACCAACAGCTGGGTGCTCTGCCACCAAAAGGTTACGGACTCCTTTCAGACTAAAACCCGTGCTTGGCTGTGCAGTCGTTCTGGTGTTTGCCTTAGGTGATGGATTCGACTGTGTGTCGAGTTTTGTGGTATTAATCAGTTAGATTTTCAAAAAAGGTTTCTGGAAGAGCCAGTGAGAGCTGGTATGAGCGCACAGAGTACAGGCTTCGTCACTGTATTTTTTTGGTTGCCATCTTCTTTCCTTAGCAAATTTTAAAAATGAGGCAAAATGTTGACTTTCACTGTGGTCATCTTCATGAGGAGTGACCAAACACGAAGAGAGCAAAATGCAGCAGCTAGATGAACGCTGGCAGCTTGCTGTGCTTGAATATCGCAGTTATTCTGGTCACCCAACTTACGATGTGTCAGTTTAGCAGCCTGGCTGCTTAGCACTCTGTATACACCACAGCTTTATGAGGATTTCAGTTTTCTGATGGAGCTGATGGGTTTTGTTCACATAGTAACTGAAATTGGTTCAAATGATGCCCTGACAGAATCACTTTGGTTTGTGAGAACTGCTGGTCTGGGGTGACTCCGGAAAGTGGTTTTGGTAAGAGTGCTTTTGTTAATCTTTTAGTGTACTAATATTTGGCATTTCATGTTTCAAGCTGGCACTGCTTGTATAGGGTTAGTTTTCCTTCATGCATGTTTATGATAAAAGGACTTATCTTCATTAAGTTGTTGAGCTCCCCCTTCTTCCAGAAGCTACTCAGTTAGGACTCCTATTAACTTAGCACACTTGAAGTGACCTGCCTTGCTCTGACTGGAGCTCAAAAATCCATATTATTGTTCAGCATTGCGTCATCTAAACCCTACATCATGCAGCTCACTGGGGCTACCAGTCCCAGATCCCTGAAACAAGAAGCTCCCACCAGGCTCAGCCTAGGATCTCAATGTGCAAAGCAAGCAAGTATGGGGGTGATGTCTGTCTGTCTGTCTGTCTGTTTGTGACCCCGATGAGGGTGCCTGGGCTCTGCCCACTGCCACATCCCTGCCGAGAGCTCCTGGGAATGTGGGGAAGGCTGGACCCAGCTGGTGGAAGCAGCATGATTCTCGTGTCTCCTTCCCCTGTTCATTTCTTCTTCTTTGACCTTGACCATGGTTTAACTGAACTTGTTGCAAACCCCTGTCTCAAGACTTCTCATGCATACAGAAAGTGCTCAAGTCTGTTAGTCTGAACAGAGTCCTAACCTTCTGAAGGCTTCAGCGGATTTCTCCATGAAGTGCTTTATAAGGCTTTTTAAAAAATTATCTCAGAATTAGAAATCCGAAGGATTTAATTTTCTTTTGCATGAGAGAAAGATGATATTTCTCTTAGCCTTATTGCTCTGACGGTGATCTTTGACAGGGCAAGTAAATCTACTTGTTTTGTTAAAACCTAAATAGCAGTACATTAGTGACTGGTGCAAAGAAATGATAAATGTAATCAAATGGGGTTTAAGCTACAGCTTGTAATTCGGTCTTTTTTTTTCCTCTCTCTCCCTCTCTTTTTTTTTTTTGTCTTTTAAGGAAAAAAAAAAAGAGAAATACTACACCGTAGTATTGAGTTACTTATTGGGCTTTCTTATTATTCAGGAATCCATTGGCAGTAGCAAAGTAGTCCTTATGGAAACCGTTCTTGATTTCTGTTGTGAGAGTGGTTTCCTTTGCAGCCATTCTTGAAGATGTTTTCCGGTATGTCTACGAAAGCGAAACCCAAACTTGTATTTGTTTAGTGCCTCCAAAATACTGTTTATGTTTAACTGTGGTAAACACACAAATACACACACACACATATATATATGCATAGATACACGATATTTTGTCTTCTGATACTTGTTCTACATTTAAGTTCATCAAGCCCACTAAGCAAAAATCCCATTCCACCTCTCCCGCCTTTGTAAGAAAGAGCTTGGAAGACTCCTTACCTTAACATAAAAGTTTACGAAGAGAATAACCAACGTGGTCATATAGGACGACTGGAACATGAGGCAGCCAAATGGAAACCCGCATGGCTTCACAGCCGCGCTGAGCGTGTGCGCAATAGTGAGCAGAAACTGGATCTGTAGGAGAAAGATCGTACACGAGGATTTACTGAGTTTAATCAGACACAGTAACGTCACCTAGTGCAGTGTCATATCAAGCCTTTTATCTTGAGAGAAGCTTTTGATGCAAGTGAACTCTGTGTACGGCAATTGCTGGAATAGACTTTTCTAAGCCAGGCGCTTTCTGCCTTGTTGTCTAACAGCCTGTCTGTTTGCAGCATCTGGCAATTTGTACTTGTAGCGTCGTTGCATTTCTTGACTCTTTGATTTTTCTTCACTAGATAAGAGAGAGTTCTACAAGCTGCAAGACCATATAAGAAGTGTACAGAGCACATTTTAACATCCTACATAATTGATGGATTTTATAACTTTTTAATCGAGAGTCCATTTACTGAGATTAAAGTGTCCATTTTCTTTTTAATAGGCCACAAATAATGGGGCTTTATGGGCTGTAGAGTTTCTACTTGATAGTAGAAAATGTTTCTGAGCATCATTTCTCTCATTAAATCAGTATTTGTAGTAGTACTTGTAAAGTAGTATTTGATCATACTACTGAAGTAATTTGCATGATTATTTTGTTCAATTTGAATTACTTTAAATTACTGGCTTAATTCTGCAAATGATACTAGGCACCTATCATTCATTTTGCCCTGTCTGACATTTTGAAGGATTTCTGGTAGTTAAAAATGAGAGAGTAGAAGAGATACATACCAGCTGGGCTTGAGTGAGGTACTTCTTCCACCACAGATATTTGCGCATGGAAGGGATGACTGACAGTCCATAATAAGAATACATGAGCACATGTATAAAGCTATTCAAAGTAGGTCCGAAGAAACCTACAAAAATCCAACAAGGAAAACATTTTTATACCAACTGTTGAAAGCTGAGAGAAGATATTCTTAAATCCTTCATCTACACTTCTCCCTCTAAGTGCTTTACTTTGACTTTGTACTGCTCAGAATGAGTGCAAAAGATGCAAACGTTACTTTCTGTTTTGAAAGGCCCCTGTAAAAAACTGCTTTGCAAAATATTACAGGGACTGAGGAGCTTCAAGTTAAAAATACTTATTTTCTGCTCAACTCCAGTAAGACTGCTGGACGCTTACGACTGTATAAAGGCCTGGAGAAGCATGCCTGCTGCCAAACACCTGAAAAGCTTCACTGGTGTTTTGCAGAATACAAATGGCAAGTGAGCAGCCTGTTACACTGCACATCTCCTTCACTGCAGCAGAGATGACGAGACAGTTGCAATATTCTGTTAAGTTGAAAGTGGTCTAGTGATTAGTGTTGTGAAATATATTGGCCCAAGGTTTAATGAGCTAAA